TTCCTTGCTAGAGGATGGTCCTAGTCGAATGAATTCTTTCAAGGTCAGTCTCCACCCTTGCTCGTTCCCATGTGCGTCGAAACGCTTTTCGACCAATTCGACGCGGGTGCTGTACGATATGTCGGGGTTCTCGTCATTGCTGTTTATTCCAAAGAAGGAATAAGCTGAGCGAATGTAGCGAACGAGAAACGCTTGTGGGATATCTATATGCGAATGAGTCGGCGGCTTGTGCAGATTCAAGCAACCTACGCCATGGCGTTCCGGGTGGGAAAGGAAGACCATTAAACTTGAATGCAATAGGTCATATTCTTCGGATTGCAACAACTGAAGAGACTTACATGCATTAGAGGCGCCGGCACATTCGATGTCAGCGACTTCCAGACCCCATGAGGTGCACGGTGCCTCCTCCAGCGTTCTGCCGTCGTTAAGCTGTCGTTGTGATCTGTGTACCATTTTTCCAAGGGCAGACCACTGCCCTGCGGCGGCAGCGAAGGCTCGTAGTCTGCGATCTTGGGGTCCTCATTGGGGACAGGCGCCTCAACTGGAGTTTCTTCCGTGTAGTGCCAGATACCGCCAGGTATGGCGTCTCGCTCGAAGATTTTGACTTTGTCAAAGCCAGCCTCGACTAGCTCACGATATGCAAGGAGCCCACTGCAGTATTGGAACGTTAGTAACGGTAAGTGAACTCAGGAAACAGTACAGACCTCACACCTGCACCAATTATCGCGACTTTACGAATGGGCCATTTGAACTGATAAAATTCCGAGTCACCAACTGGGGAATTGACAAAGTTGCTGCGCTCTGCGTCAGTGGTGACGTGAAAGGGCGCTTGCGTTGCAGCGGAAGCCCTAGCAGCCGTGACAATAAAAAGAAGGAACACCTTAGAAAGGGTGAGTCCAGGCATCCAAGGAGAACAAGCGGGCGATTGGCAAAAAGCTCGTGTTCTAGTTCTGTTCCTTTGTATCTTCCGAGTAGCGCTGCTGCGATCAATTGCTGCGGGGGTATCGTGTGGCGGATGCTGCGGGCACGATAGCGTGCTCCAGAACAAGGTACTTATCACGCCCGTGCCGCAGGACCGTTGATGCTGAGCCTGATATTGGGCAAACTGTTTAAATCCCGAACTTGAATAAGTACTTGCAATATGTAAATGTCGCGATACGGTTTGCATATTGCGCCATATTGTGGCTCTTGAGTTCTCAGTTTGTAGTCTTCCTCGTGCGCCTTCAAGCCTTGTAAGCTCTTCGCCTGAAGCCCAGGAAGGAAAAAGTCTCTCAAAATTATTTTCGCACCGTTAGGTACTTCAAAGGGAATGCGGATGGAGACAAGTTCGGTTGATTAATGTGACCGGCCCGGAAATGTGATTCAATGATTGTTCACTGTTCAGAAACGCCCATCTCCAAAGTTCGAAACTGCCAGTCGACGCAATTGGCAATTGCTGGTCGCGGGTACAGGTTGGACGGGTGAGGAAGGGATCAAGGCTACGGTGTCAAACCCGCGAATACCGTGGATCAGTCCCACGTACACGTACAAGGTGCGAGACGGGTCTGGGAAGATTTGATTCTGGCGGGCTCAATTTTGCCCGGAATTCTTTCGGTACGCAGGATTGAACCACGATGCATATGAATTGAACGTTCAAATATTTTCAGGATTTTGAGCCGCTCCGTACAGTGAAATGAGAGAGGTTCGTGGAGTGAGGCACGAACGGAGGGGGTTTCGTGCCGGACCGGCCCGCAACAAGACCGAAGCAAACAGATGCAACAACAGTTGATCTTTGCTTCGCGCGTCGTTGTACCAAAGACGCGGCGTCTTGTTCGGGCGCTCTCCTCCCCTGTTCTTCTCGGTCCCACCCACCCTCTCCTGTTGAGTCAGTCTCTTCTTTCCTTCCGTTTTTGTTGGATCTGCCAGGGGCGTGCGTTGGGTTCGCCCAACGCGCGCCCGCTCGCCCGAACGGGATAGTCTCCGAAAAAGAGCCCGCCCGTCCGGTCCCCCCAAACCCTGGCGGATCCTTCAAGAAAGAAGGATCGGATTATACTCACCTCCTCCGAGGTCCGACAAGCGCGAAAGCGATCAAAGTTTGACTACAGCCAAGTTACAAACCGTCTGCCGCTCACTTTGTCGAATTTTTTAGGCACTGGAGCTTCTAGGGAACACTATAAAACTTATATTTTATTTGTCGTGGAGCATGCCCGCGGGTTTGAGTGCGCGATATAGACCCGTACCTTCGGGGGTGGGTTGCGGGTACGGTACCACTCGAGGTGGACCCGCGGGTGTCCTTAGGTTCGACTTCAACTTGAGCCTTGAAGGTCAATTGGTCAAAAATGGTTGGAACGTGGAAGCAATTTGAGGCAATTTGAGCTGACTCCGAAAGGTACATGGGTGGTATGAATCAGATCCTGTATGTTTACTATCGGACCCGGAAGCGTCGTGCAACTCCTCCACTGTGACCTTTACAGCGACCGTGCTATGGTCGAACGTCTACAGACACAAACGAGAAGGCTAGAACGATTAGCATACGGAACGGTACTCGCCGGAGTAGTGTTCTCGGTGTTCGGTTCTGAACCGATGCCGAACCTGACGAACCCGAACCGGACCCCATGTTCGGGGTTCAGCAGATTCTTGATTTTGCCGAACCGGTGCGAAGATGTTTGAACCGATAGGTAAAAATCGACCTATTTGGAACCTACCAAGCGTCTTGTATGCACCGTGAGCTGCAATACATTTCCATAGTTATATATGCTTGTTACGGTTGAATTGGTAGATAATCAGACAAGACAGAAATCGTCGAACATGATGTTTGGAGGTCTATCCTCACACAGTCGTCTAAAAGGCCTGTTCTACTGAGATGATACATGCAATATACAGCATTCAAAGGCTTTCCAGGCCACAGAATTGGCTCCTGGGGCGTGGGAAGTCTTTTGGGTTCAAAAAGGTTTAAACCTGTCCTGAACCCCAGACCGAACCGGACCTGAGGTCAGGTTCGGTTCGGAATTTTTCGCAAAAAACCGGACATCGGCGACACTATGCTGGAGGTCTGAATCTTCCGATGTGGTCAATATTCAGCGTTTCATCGAACCCGTAAGTGCATTGCAGGTCGTTGCGCAGGGCGTCGCGGCCGTTGAGCGTCTGTGAATGGTGAATGCACATTCGTTAGAGACCGGAAAGACATACTGATAATAATGTGCTCCTACAACATGATGAGCGAACGCAATTGACCAGAGAAAATCTGAGCTGACGTATATATCCGGCCCATTGGTTGGGAAAACATGAGATGGAAGCCGGTGGTGGGTAGTTTTGTCTGCAAAGGAGAGTAAATTCCAGGGGTGGTCAACATGAATGGGTACTTACAAACATGATCAGGACCATGATCTGATAGAACGAATTAGCAAAGAGCCTGGGTTCGCGAGAAATCACATACAGAAAAGAAGCTCGCGAAAGCGGCGCTCTCGAGCGCAGACCTGGTCAGGCGGCCAATGACACCGTCTGTTTCTGAATACGCAGTGTGAGAAGCATGAAAATCAAGGAAGGAAACACGAACTGCTGAAGCCAGTCCGACTCCGGTTCAGATAATATATGAGAGAAAGCCTGGAGTTCCGGGTTCTTTGAATAGCTCAGGCAACCTGGAATTGAATCGCACGTTAGAGCCACATCATTGACGGTGGCCAATGCCAGCCAGCTGTCGGCCACGGGGGTCAATCGGGACCCATCATCGAAACTAGGGTCGAATGAGTCGTGTATATACGATGGATCGAGGTGCGTACGCTAATCCGAACGCAAAAATACTCGTCGTGAGAGATATTCCACCCTGCAGACCGCGTAAGCAAGGCGGATCAATGTCATAAAAATAGCACTGACGTGCACAATGGTCAGGAAGACCAACAAACTGAATAAGAAACGAGACTTGGAAAGTTGCAGGACCCGAAATGCCATGAATATCTGAACAGGGCAGGCCGATCTAAATATATCTGTGAAACGGGATCGGAGGAGTGAAAATATCCTTACAATCCGGAAAGCATGGGGACAGCGGTCAAGGGCCATGGCGCGGAAGCCAAAAATTCAGGATTGAAATAATTGTCCACCAGGTAGAGCCATACGAAATAAACCGAAGTCGCGGCGCAAAATATCGAAAGAACGAATTCCCAGAGGACGAGAGCGCTTCAAGCACGTTTTAACAATATAAAAGATGTACGGGCGCCGGTGACTAACCGTACAGTGAACGAGTCTTGGAGTCGGCGCTTTGAAAGATAGTAGGTCATGAATTGGACGGCGCATGCACCGAATAAACAGGTACTAAGCTGGTTGACGAGAGTTCAGACACGAAAGAACATCAACGAGAGTACTCACAATCGTTCCGACATATATGGGCCCAAGCAAAAGCTTGACAGACTCCGGAGTTGCAGACATGGACGGCAGAGATACGAATTACAAGTGGGGTTTGGAAATCACGACTAACCAGAGGGTTTATACAGTCAGTGTTAGTGACATCCCGAATTGTTGGCATGTGTCCGATCGAGCAGGGGTACAAAAGGAATGGCGAGCACCGCCGACTCAGGTGAGACTGAGACATGAGAGGCCGTGGAGTGAAACTGCAAGTACACAAGAATCTCAGATCAAAATAGTGAGGCTTGAGGTTGCTCGGTGAGATGAACCGTCTACTCCAACGCTGTGCCGACGTTCGTATCGCGTCGTTGAGCAATGAACGCTCAGGCCCCTAATGCTGCTGCTCGTTTGAAAGTATTTGACGATGGTTCCAAGCCATTTCTGACTTCGGGGCCACAGGATGCGCACTCCAGTGACTAGTATCGTCCTTCGGAGTCATAGTTGAGTGACAAGGAGTTGTTCATGCAAACGCCGGCAAGGCCCGAAACACATGGCTCTGTATCAGTATTAAGTTAGGAAGTACATGCCAACGGCTTGGTATATCTTGACCTTTGGTCGATTTGAAGTTCTCTTGGTGTGATTTAGCCGTAAGTGCGACCAAAAGATGTTGCGCGAAAAAGAAACTCTCGACCTGGGAGTCGAACCCAGCTTTCGCGCGTTCGACATGTATCCCGAACATGACAAGCGCGTGTACTAACCGATATACTAGTCAAGACATGTTGGGTTGTCAGTTTGATGTCATATAGCCTGCTCCAAAGTGCTATCCTTGCTGTTCCGAACTTTTCCGAATTCTGATGTCGGTTTGTTTTTCTTTTCCTATCCATTCATTTGGATTCCGAACCTTTGCCAAGGACTGCCCACGGACCCGATCCTCAGCGATTCACTCCGGCAGCCGGGTCTTTCTTTAGGCAGCACTGTCATGGGTCGACATGGTACACCTTCGCTGGAGTTCTTCGAGCCATGCGGCTACTTGAGAGCAATCCGGCACCCGGAAAACGGCCTATATGTCGCCATTCGGATGTATATGGATCCCGTTCGCCGTCTCCCCCTCTCCCCACTTCTCCGCGTTGTTGCGAAAATATGGCTGCCAGGGTCCCACCAAAAATGAAGCGATGGCTACCAACGCGACTTGATCCTTATACTCGTCCAGACCCTTCTATCTGCACCACCGAGCTCTATACTTGTCAACGGGTGGTCTCGCACCATTGCAATTGAATCAAGCCAACCCCGGATAAGCGATCCGAAACCTGATTATATTCCCGGCTGTTGTCTGCACGGTTCCTAATTTTCATTCACACCACTACCCAGCGATTCGGAACTGACTCTGCTGCCTTCCGCGATCAATCGGCCAGAACGAGCTAGAATGTTACAAAAATGACGGAACCCCGCGTCATTTGACCCAGATCGAAATAGCATCCTGGGGACTGACCAATCACAGCACCCGTCTTAGGTGATAAACGTGATCTGGGGTAGATGAGATATAAAAACCGTTGGGATATTATTCACCTCTCCACCGCTTTCTTTCTACAACCATGCCCTCTAAACAAGTTGTCACTGCGGGTGCCGAATCCGCCCACTACACCACCTCCAACGGCGCGCCCGTTTCGGAGCCATATGCAGCTCAACGACTGGGGGTGCTAGGCCCGCTTTTGTTGCAAGACTTCCACCATATCGATGCTCTGGCCCACTTCGATCGTGAGTTCCCTCCCTCGATATCTGAAAGGCACTAACTTGTCTCTGTGCAGGCGAGCGAATTCCCGAGCGTGTCGTACGCATCAAGTTGTCCGATCCCGATCTCTTCTCACAAAGTCTTCCAGGTCCATGCCAAGGGTGCAGGAGCCCACGGATACTTCCAGGTCACGGAGGACCTTAGCGACCTCACCGACAACCCCCTTCTGAGCAGCAAGGGCAAGAAGGTCAAGGCAACTGTCCGCTTCTCCACTGTCGGTGGCGAGTCTGGTTCCGCCGATACTGCGCGCGATCCCCGCGGATTTGCGATCAAGCTCAGGACCGAAGAGGGCAACTGGTGAGCCTATTTACCTACCAGGAGTATTCGTATTCTCCCAAGCGCGGGGATGGACGTTGTTCAGTCGGAGCTGTCGGCAAGTGCCGCAGGTCACCTGCACAATCGTCTGGTCCTTCAGCGTCCGGGGATGTCCTCATTCTCATCTCTACCGCCTTATTCTACTTATTCTGACCATCCGGATCTAAAGGGACATCGTCGCGAACAATACACCAGTACGTGATCCATTAATTCGCGCTTGCGAGTTTAAATCTAACATCATCCTAGGTGTTCTTCATCCGTGACCCAGCCAAATTCCCCCCATTTCATCCACACCCAAAAGCGCGACCCCCAGACTCACCTTAAAGATGCCGATGCATTCTGGGTGTGTCTAAAGGATTAAGCAGAGATCAGCTTTCTGACGTGTATCCAGGACTACCTTGGCCAGAACCCCGAATCTATCCACCAGATCATGATCCTCTTCAGCGATCGCGGCACCCCCGATGGCTACCACCAACAGCACGGCTACTCCGGCCACACCTTCAAGTGGTTCAAAAAAGACGGCTCTTTCGTTTACACCCAGCTGCACTTCCGTGTTCAGGGTGGCTTCAAAACTCTCAACAACGCAGAGGCAGGTAAACTCGCTGGTGAAAACCCCGACTACGGCATCCAGCGTCTCTTCGAGGCCATCGAATCTGGCCACCCCCCTACGTGGGATGTCTTTGTGCAAACCATGACACCTTCCCAGGCGGAGCAGTTCCGTTACAACATCCTCGATCTCACTAAGGTCTGGCCGCACGGCGAATTCCCGCTGCGCCCCGTTGGCAAGCTCGTGCTCGACGAGAACCCGCAGAATTACTTTGCCGAGATCGAGCAGGCCGCCTTCTCGCCATCTCACCTCGTACCGTACATCGAGCCCAGCGCGGATCCCGTCCTTCAGTCGCGTCTCTTCTCGTACCCCGACACCCACCGTCACCGCCTCGGTACCAACTACCAGCAGCTGCCCGTCAATGCGCCGATCGTCCCTGTCGCCAACTTCCAGCGCGACGGCGCGAGCACATTCGTGTCGCAGGGCGCGCGTCCGAACTACCAGAGCTCGATCGCCCCGCTCAAGTATATCGGCGCGCATGGCACGCTCGAGGGCGGTGCGCGCGACTTTGAGCGCGAGGCCAAGCACGAGACCTTTGTCGGTGCGGCGTTCCGCGATCTCAGCTTCATCACCGAGCGTACGTCTTTCCCGAGCAGAGATTCAATTCTATATAATACTTAACCTCATCTTCAGTCGACTTCGAGCAGCCGCGCGCGCTGTGGAGCAAGGTGTGGAACGACGCTCAGAGGGAGGCGTACGTGCAAAACGTTGCCGCCCATTTCGGGAACGTCAAGAACGCCGAAGTCAGGGCGCGCCAGTGTACGTCGTCTCCTTCGTTTGTTGCTTTGCCTTCCAACTAAATAAATAACCTCGCAGTGTCCGTCTGGGCCGCCGTCGACCAATCGTTGTCCGACCGCATCGCCAAGGCTGTCGGCGCGCCGACGGTGAAGCCGCTCCAGGTCAAGCCCGCGAGCGAGGCGGTCAGGTTCCGCGCGAACCTAGGTGTGCACACTTCCGTCAAAGCTTGAGAGCGCGGTGAAGAGACAATGGGCGCCTCAAGGATTCAAGGTGGCGAGGTTGTGAAGATTACACAAAGCACACATGTAAAGCAGACCTGTATGTACGAAAAAGAAATCAAAGTTGTACCAATTCACGATGGTTTTGGGCGAAGTATGTATGTATGAGTGAGTGAATAAGAAACCAATTAATCGAAGTGATGTTCGAGTGATGTTCGTTGTGACTTATCACGGTCTTGCCCTTACGTCTCCCCCTCTCGCCAACTGTCTGAGTGCACGGATAGCACCGCCGAAGGCACCAAGCAGAAAGCATTTTGTGCATCCAATCTCAAGTATTAGAACCTTTTCAAGCATCTCGTGGATTGAGCTGTGAACGGTGTCACGGAGCGCTCGGATTCTTGCACTTCCCTTGGTCCGTCAACTAACAGTTCTCTGCGACGAAAGAGCAAAAGCAAGGTCGGAGGAGGCCTACGAGTCCAGCATCCAATGAGATTCAAGCGGCCCCGGACGAGATGCGTCCGACTAGGGGGGTCTCAGTTTAAGCCACATTGCTCCTGTCAGCCACACTCTCGCTCTTTCTCCTTATCCTCCACCACCACCACCACCACTACCACTACCACCCAACCCACCCACTGTCGTTAAGGTATGCTCGACCTCGCTAATCCCACCGTGTCATTATCTGACTGAAATCCTCTAGATGTTTGCATTCTTTAAGCGCGGTCCTACCCCCTCGTCGTCTGCGGGAACCAGTTCTACGGTTTCCCCTCGCGGACTGAAGAAACTGCCTCTCGTCGACAAGTTCATGTCCGTAACAGTCATCCCGTCGGCATTTAAGAAGAATCAGCTCCCTCCTCTCGTCTCTTCTCCTCGCCGTCCATCCACCCAGGCCTCGGCAGTCCCCAAAAGGGCTCCATTCGTTTTTCCTTTGAACACGACTGTTCGTAATCCTCGTGTCTCTGCTCCAATACCGCAGCGCCTCCCTGTATCCAAGGCGAGGATTTCGGGGCCCATTTGTTTGGCCAAGACTGCTCAAAAGTCCAGTCCCGCGGTTAGCCGTATCCCCAGGCCCAGTAGAGGGATCGTCCACAGCGCCGATATTACCGTCACCAAGGTCAAGAGCCTGAAAGAGTTCTCACTCCGCTCTAAGATCCCCGTCGCTATCAGTCCTCGCCCTGGTTTTGCGTCTCCCCCCTCTCAGTCCACGCACTTGAAAATGCGGGCCTCCGACCCATTCGCAGCCAGTCTCGCCGTTGGTTGTACCGCTCACCGGCCTCCCCGCAGCCCCAGACGCCCCAGAGCCGTCCCGTCTGATATTGTGCGCTCCAAATACAAGCAGAAGCTTATCTCGGAGGGGCAAACCCCGTGCCCCTCACAAACCCTGGTGGTGGAGGCGCGTCACAAGGCATGCAAGGTTTCTGCGGCGGCGGCTGCAAATTCTTCAGGTAGCTGCGTAGGGAAAGAGGGCCGGGTTCTATGCACAAAGGAAACGGCTGTCGATACCGTCGTGCCCTTGACGATGCAGGCTTCCGATTTGGTGTGCTCGCGATCGGTCATGCAAACCGTTTTTCATCTGCTCTTGGATGGTATCGAGGAGCAAGCACCGGGGCCAGGTCTCTTGCTACTCGGACCCGCGGAGAATGCAGGGGACCTCAAGGGTTCAGATAGCGACGCGACCACCGTCAGTAGTTCTGGTAACTCTGACAGCGCATTCGGTCGCACAGCTCCCCCCGACTCCTGCACCGTCGCCGGGGCTGGGACAAGAACGGGGACGGAGGGGCTGGGGGCGAAAGAAAACCCGACGAGAGCGAGTATGGGGGGACTCATTGGGAAACTAAAGAAGAGACTTTCAAGGAAGCACACGTCGAGTGTTCCCAAGACGTCTTCTTTCGTTTTGGTGGAGCAATCTGGATGTGCATGTTTGGCGTCCAAAGATAACGACAGGCCGTATGAGGTACACCAGGTCCTCACCCGTCACTACGAAGTCGTCACGGGAGCTTTCTACCAATTCGATACACGGCTACCTCCTCCCGCCCTCCAACCTCCGGTCGCGGCCAAGAACGCACCAGAGTACGCCCTAGCGACGAAAACAAGCACTCAAACCCGCCCGG